CCGCACAAAGGCTGTTAGTGTGTGACCCCTGGAGCACGGTGACACCACGCAGGTCAGGCAGAGCCCGAAACCCTGACTGGGATGGCTGCCGCACCCGCTAAAAGCAAACAGCGAGCTCAGACCGGACAAAGATTTGATTGGCAGTGAAAGCAGTAAAGATTTTGAGGCAAAGTTTTTATTGATTTGGAGTTGGTTTAAAACCACTTCGTGGCCGTCGCGTCGGGGCAGGCAGCGGGGAAGGGGCACAGGAGGCGAGGGAGGCCACTGCCGTCGTGAGGAGGCCGACGTCTCCAGGCCTACAGGAGCAAATCTTCCTCCGTTAGCTTTTGCTTCAGCTTGCTGCCTCGCAGGCCTGCTAGGAAGACGGGGACCTTCGCCTCGGAGAAGCCATCACTGTCGCCAAGCCCCGACCCGGAGGCTGGCTCTGCTTCCACCGCAGCGTCGGACCCGGAGCCGGACTCCTCATCCGAGAGCGGGAATATGTCACCCAGATCCTGGTATCTCTTCATCCTGAAATGCAGAGTGGCAGCTAGTTTATTCCAAATTTATTATTTTATTGTCTCTTAAGCAAACACACCAAAGCTTCACGTTCCCATGGGTGAGCCACGCTGTGGCAGGACCATCAAGATGGTAATACTGGACACTTTTGGGTGTGGGCACCAATGACAAACATGCAGCACATGAACTTACAGGGACGGGTCTGCCATGGGAGGAAGGATCCTGTTGGCTCCACCGGTGGGCACGTAAAACCAGGGCCCCTTCTCTTCAATGCAGTTAGCAGACCAGGCGTCGGGTCGGCACCTCACTCGCTTGTACCTTGCCTTCTGCATCGGAGCACCTGATCGAATCAACGGTGTGTTATTCACTGGGACCAGGACGTTATTCACCAGGACCTATTAACTTTATGAGCACCTAGTAAAGCTTAAAGGAGCGAAAGAAAATAATTTGTGTGGCCCTGACTGCTCAACTACCGAAAACTAAATTAACCCTGAAGGACTTTTTTTAAATGGCTACTGATACCCTAAGTGACATCCTTGCTATCAGAGACATCAGGCACATCTCACACACTGCGCCAGGAAGTCTACGGGCATTAGAAATGGAAAGCCCATGGGAAGCCACCACCTTACGCTGACATCACAGCAGGGCTCATCCCCGGCTCGGGGCACAGCACATGCCCAGGGGACCTGTGGGCTCAGCCACCTTCAGCTTTCCCCGAAGCTGGTGGAGGCATCTCAAAAATCTCCTGGGGACAAGCCAGCCCAGCGGAGAGCTGGCTCCTGTACCCTCCCTTTCTCTGTTGGCTCCAGCCATGGCTGTCCCTGCTTTGGCTTTGCCCATCTCAGCTCAGCCCATTCGAGTTCAGTGGGATTTTTGGTGGGGAGGTTGGAAACTCCAGGTGTGCCAAGAGCCGCCTGCCGCAGGAGCAGATTTGGGGGTTACGTAGGCTCTCAGAGCACGTCGCCAGAGTGGAGACGGTTCAGGCATGTCCTAGACACAACTCAGGGTTACATAAACCCACGGTTTCCGTTCTGGTGCCCCCCGAGTGCCTGACCAGGATGGTTGCTGAAAAGCGAGTCTTCAAAAAAATACCAAAATGCAAAAATAACGATTGCAAAGTAACGCTAAAAATGGTGGCGTTTCATCCTTCCTCTTGGTCTCATGTAATTAATTTGTTCTGAAGCCTCCTGGTGCATTCTCCCCCTGTTGGCACTTCATCTATATTTTTTCTTGGTTTCTTGGGAATATCTTTCTGTAATTACACTTCTCTATTGCCCTATACATTTCCACAATGTACTAGATGATTTTCAGCAACCTCCTACGCTCCTCTGTAAGAGAAAAAACATCTCACGGGTATCATTTCCTGCTTCTTTTAGAGTGTAGTCCTTTTCCACATTTATTTTCTTCTTTTCAAGTATTATTAAGAAGGTTTTTAGTAATAACAGTGGCAACAAAATAAACAACTGCAGCTGAATAATTTGCAAACAAACAACATACAAAAAGCAGGCCATAATCCCTCAAAGATCAGCCTCTGAGTGGCAGATACATAGTGAAAGCCTATCACAGCCTTGGTTTGGGGACAAATTGTACTCCACATGCTTGAAAAGCGCTTTTCTCTCGCAAGAAACAAATCCACCGGGTGCATGTCATCATGAATCAACACTTCCTTTTAGTTCTTTCAGCGCTGCGTGTTGCAATGTTGTACCGAATAAACCATTTAATTTCCTCATACTTAGAGTTAGTTTTCTTTCCTGCCCCTGTAGCAGTTATGACATGGGAACTGTTACATGCTTTGCCTGTAACTACATAACTGAATAACACTATGCAACCAGACCTCTATAAAAGGGACGGTTAAAAAAAAATTTAAATGTATGTAGTGAAAATATACCCGCATACAGCAACGCATTTGTGGAGTCTTTTTCTCCTTGGGGCTGGGAAAGGGACACAGAAATGCTCCACTAGCAAAAAGCACCTTTTCTGACCATTCCCTCTCCAGAAAACGAAATGTTAGCAAAACAGATTTTCTGAGCAGATCTCATTACCCCTAGAAAAAGGTCAGTTTGAAAAATTTGGAGGCTGCCTACTTGGCCTACACTACGTAGCCCAGAAAGAGGATTACCGAGAGAACAACCGCCCCGCTTTACCTTGTGCTGTGTATCCCACAAAGAGGATTAAACAAATAGCCAGGAAAATCCTCCCGTTACATCTGATAAGGAGCTGCATTTTGGCCGGCATCCCCCTGATCGCCACCAGCCTTCACCACGGCTTCACACTTCAGAAATATGACGGGGCGAGGAGATCGACTTTTAGAAAAGGTTTCCAAAACCTCAGACCCAACCCATAACCTGCGTCACGGCTTCCTGATTGACGGGAGAGAGACATCTACAGAAAAGCCCAGTGCTCTGCCCTCCCGGCCTTCATCACTCCAAAAAAAAAAATGTTCCCCACTGCCTTCATCTCCAGTTTTGCCTGAGGAGAAAAGCAAATCCGGGACCAACCCGCCCAGCTGCTGGTGGCTTGTGGTCCGGCGTGCGTCCCGCCAAGCACCTGCCCAGTGCTCAGAGAGCTCCGGGGCACTTGCTGTTTGATCTGGAGAGAAAAAGCAACACTTTGTGTCCCCCAGCTTTCAGCCAGCTGTTTTGGCGTTGGCACTGGCAGCGATCTGCCCTGCCTCAAGCTGTCAGTCCACCAGCAGGGTTAGGAGCTGGCTGCCTGCGGTCGGCGCAAGTTTCACCGACTAGGGAGCAATCTTTTTCCACAAAAGTAAGTGATCTCAGGAATCTTACTTTTTTTTTTTTTTTATCTTCCTGGAAGCAGGATCTTAGATATTCACAGAAGAAGTGAAAAAATGGAAAAAATGTAGAGAGTGTATCCTGGTAGAAACGTGTCATCTCCTTTCTGCAAGGGCACAAGAGATTTGCTTGGCCCTGACAGCTGATCTAGGGCAGCTGGGTCATCGCTCTGCGATGTGAGCATCCCGGGGAGCGTGGTGAAGGGTTTGGACAGCCTGTGGCTCCGCAAGGAGCCCAGCTGGGAGAGCCGCGAGACCCCTGATACAGATACATACGTGGAAGCCGCCTTTCAGCTGGCTCATACCTTGTGTTTGCCTTGTAGTTGTGATTAAACCAGGCTTGAGTTCACTGAAGAACAAATTGCAAACAACAAGGTTATCTAAGCAGCGGGGGTTTTTCTTAGTCATACCATTAGCTGCTGGATTAACTGGGGCACCGATGTGTGGGCCTAACGTGCTGCCAGCACCTTCGACGATGCTGCAGCTGATAGTGCAAGTTGTCTGTGGTACATCTATTTTTATGCAGTGGAAAGTCCATGGAGGCCCCCGGTGGCGATCTGGGCTGAGCGGTGACTTTCCCCGGGGCACGGCACTCCACCAAAACCCCACCAGCAGTGGAGAAGACTCCTCCAGCAGCTCCTCTCTCCAGGCTGGGGTTTACTGCTGGACTGAGGGGTTGAGCTGTGCATTTGGCATCAACGCAATTTGTTATGAACCATCACACGTGGGGGTTTTTCCAGCACGGGAAAAACAGGAGACTCAAACCAAGCAGGCGTGGAAGGACTCAGGTGCAGTAGTTACTCCTATCAGCCTCTTTTCTACTTTCTACTTTGTATTTTTAGCATCAACTCTTTTTTTTTTTTTTAAGGTGGTGCTCAGCATCAGTAGGAAGCTGGGTGAACACGTGCGGTGAGGCGATCAGCCTCCGCCCACTGAAGGCTGCAGAAGCCATCCCTGCAAGAACACCTCTCACTTTCCGCTGGTCACAGGAACACGCCGACTCCTCCACACCCCTCCAGCATGAGCAAACAACTGCCCACAAGGGTGAAAGCACCTCTCCGCTGGCTATTCCTGCCCTTCCCACCAGCCCAGGGCTTTTTCCACCCCGGCACTGGAAGCTCCGCAGGATGCGGCAGGAGCTGTGCCCACCAGCGGGCATGGTCATGGGGGGCTGGGGATCCCGCAGGAGCAGGGGGAGCCGTGAACCCCCCTTATCTGGAAGGGGATCTCGCAGAGCCGAGTTATCTGCCTCATACCATCAGCCGATGGGGGAACTTGTAGCACTGGCAGTTTTGCCACACGGTTTTGTTATTTTCTTCGGTGTCAGCGGCGTGCCTCAGGAAATGAGATTGCTTTACAATTGGTAACCATAGGAAGACCCAAGAAAATTTTCCATTCCCCTGTCTCACGTCAATCTGCGTAACGGGGGCCAGAAACCTGCGGGGAGCTTCAGCCTGTGCCCATCTCCTGTCCTGCTGCGCTCCGCCAGTGTCCTGCTGTGCTCAGCAAGCAAAGAGCTCTGCACCTTGCGGCAAACGTGGAAGTGGTACTGGAGACTTGGATCTGAAGCAGAGGCCTTCTAGGATGTGCAAGTCCGAACAGGAAAGCATGCCCTGTGTGGAGGGTCGTGGGATGCCCAAGGAACGCCGTGCACTTATTTACTTCTCTGTAAGCCGCTCAGTGCAAAAAATGCAAATAATCAGTACACATTAAAAAGAAATCTTGAGCTAGAGGCCACAGGTTGCAGAAAGATAAGACACCTTTTCTTTTTTTAAATGGAAAACAGCACACAAGCTGTACTGTATTTCAGTGGTAACAGCGAAACGTGCCGACGCATGACTATCAGAGTTTAAGAGAGAGTTTTTAGAGTCTAATATTTTAAATCCACAGAGGAGAGGAAAATAAATGAGCAGCAGATATCTGAGAATCCAGCTCTTGCCTTGAGGCCAGAGGGAGGATTTCAAAGATCATACCAACATGATGGAAATGTCACCATCCGCACTCACCTATATTTTTGCATAAACATTTCCCACCCATGGCTCGCTCTCCTGGAGCTTTTCTTACAGCTACCGTGCTGAAGCCCTGTCATTATTTTCAAATCACATGCAAAGCAGATTAAGAGCTTCGCATTTTTCCAAGGCATTAATTCGGGGAGCAGGGGCCAGGCAGAGGGAGGGGGCTGCCTCAGCACTGTGTGCCCGGCCCCTCAACCGGACACCTGGAACTCTTCGTTATGTGCCCAAAATATCTGGGAATAGCCCCTAAGCTACAATAAACATCAAAATCTAGTGATGAACTGCTTGTAACTCTCCGGGCTGTTTTGTCTTGCAGTGGGCTTCAGGAGTAACAAGTAATTCAGTAACATCACTACCTGGGGAACCCACCACAGGAGCGCCTGGTGCGAGGGCACCCATCCTGCTGTCGAGGGCAGGGGATGTAGGGCAAAAAAACCTCCGAGCAGAGACATTTCGGTAACCTGGATGGGCATCACAGAGTGCTTCAGCCAGTTCTTTGGTGGACACCAACCCCTGCTCTGCTCTAGCCCAGGTAAACGCTGCCGCGTCAGGTTGCTCTCTCTGCTGCTTTTCCTCGCCCGGCAGCGCAGGTTTGCTTTGGCGCCTGTATTTCCAAAAAGCAGCTGGCCAGTGGATGGGCTCCCACGGTCCCAGCGGTTATCAGCGAGGCACGCAGGCAAGGAGATACCTGCCCAGACAGAGGTCCCGATAAGGGAGTTTTTCCTTCATAACTGCTCGGAAATCAGATAAACCCTAATTGCTGCAGGGTCCTTCTGCTCTCTGAGGTCAGGTTTCCCCTTGCCCCGGGTGGTGGGAGCTCCGTCCTGGCTTCGGGGGGGAGCCAGAATGACCCCTGCACCCCTCGAACGCACCTCCCCAGCGGAGCAGCCAAGCCGACAGCTGGCTGGAGCAGCCGGGGGTCCTGAAGCACCGGGCCCTGCCTGCAACGCTCAAATCTTTATTTGCTCCACTGGGAAAGAAGAAATACATATTTTGTACAGGTCACTGCTCTGGGAAGCAGAAAGTTACATCTGTTATGAGCGGAGCTGGAAAAGGGGTAAAGGGAGAAAGATGGCAACCATTGAGAAAAAATAGAGGTCAGACAGGAAGCAAAGGGGAATGGGAGAGTGTCTGAATAGCAGCTGGGTTGAACACGAGGACCATTTTTTTTGCTATTTTGTCCTTTGGGAGGGCAGAACAAGTTTCTTCCCCAACACTCGCTGTCGAGGTGGAATGAGATCCATTGGACCTGGACATCCAGCAGACCCTGAGCACGGTGATCTATCTCAGAGATAATCCACAAGCTGCCCTGTTAAACACCCCAAAATCACCCCAACCCACCCAGCAGCGAGCTCCCCCCAGGCAGGCAGCCCAGCTACATCTAAGGGTGCTTTCTGCCACCAGCCCATGTTTGACCAACCAGCCTTTGAGGACTGAAAAGCAAAAGCATGCCCTGCCTCAAAATAGCAAAGAGCTGGCAACCCAGGGAGGTTTGGGTCGGCCCGGGGGGATTTCCAAATCCAGCCCTGAGCAAAGATGAATTCTTAGCTTGGGTCGTGTCTGAGCTCAGCGCCTGGCCCCTGTGTTCGCCCATGTACCTGGAGCATCATGGCACACGCAGCAGAGCAGTACGTGGCCTCCTGCAGCCTCTCGTGCCGCTGCCTCTTGTCTCCGAGGGCAGTATCAGGACCTGGCCCGTGAAGATAAGATTCAGATCTTGAAAGAAATCATTAATGCTTACATGCATCACACAGAAATCAGACATTCGCTGCCATCTAGATCACACAGAAGAGCAGCTCCTTGTTTTTTCCCATGATGAAGGTCAGCAAGCGCGCGGGGAGAGATCTTTGCTGGAAAGCCACAGCTGCATTGAGATAGAACGCAGCAGCTGCCTGATGGGAAGCTGCCAGTGGCCTTTCCCCATCAGCGATCTCTGCCAAAAACGTTAACTGAGCAACAAGCCTGTCCTTTGCAAGGAAAAAAGCAGCTTTCCTTCGTGCTAGGAGGTGCGATGCTTTCTGCTCCCAGGTGCTGAAGCCTGGTGCAGCAGGAGGTGTTGGCTGGCAAATTCGGGACTGTAGTTTAAAAGCAACAGGAGACAGCAGCCAAGCTCTGGTTTCTGATCAGGGAGGCAATTTCAGCAGCCGTCCTTCCTTCTTTGAAACCTCATCCCAGAGCAGCACCAGCTCTGCGGTGGAAGCACCCAGCCCTCACTGGGAGCAGGACCTGCACAGCGGAGCAAGGGGGAAGAAGGGACTCCCCCTCACGCAGCTGCTTGTTGGGAAAACACCCCTAAAAACACAAAGAATTAACCAGTCAGAAAAGGACCACGGAACAAAGATGTTTTAAAAGCAAAGCCTGGTGCCCTGTTCCTCTGCTGCTTCTCCAGGAGTGTCTTTTCCTTGCAAACAAGTTGGCGCTGCTGCACA